AACTTCATATGCTTCAGTTTAGTTTTACTAAACCTGCTATCAGCCTTCAAAACCTGTTTTCCATATATCCAAGGATATATGAAACATACACACACTCATACACACAGTCACACGTTTGAATATTACATAAGATTGTAATAATGATTTATATTCATTGAATTTCTGTATCTAACACTAACATACCTGCAATGAGACTTCCACAATTTTTTTTCTGACCATTAAACTTTTCCATATATCACAGCTTATATTAGCCCATTGTAAAGCTTTGTTTATGTGTATGCAAGCCCCTACATTAATGTTTTGTATTCTGAAAATTTCACCCGCACAGCGCCAGTCACTTAATTGCACTAATTATTACTCACACATTAGCGCCTATTAGTCAGCATGGGTTTCTTTTTCTTTTTTTTTGTTTTTTCAAATGTTTTAGCCAGCATTCAGATTTCACTTACTTGGCAGAAACGACTTGTTATAGTGGTTTTCAAAATCTGGCAGGAAGCCTAAGAAGCGACCACTTGTGCTGTCCGAATTTCCTATTCCAGTCATCATTATAGACCTGGAGAGACAGTCTGCTAAGCTTATTTTAACTTTATGGGGGAATTGTTGACGTGAACTTCAGTAGGTCCCCATATTCTATTGCCAAAGCAATAGAGAACAATCTTCTAGCAAATCACGGTTCAGTTATGCTGTGATTGATAATGCAGTTATTGGTAGAAATGTCACTTATTTTTACCATTATAGACTTTTTAAGTCAGCATTATTTCATAGAAACCTTAGATGAGAAACATTTAAATATATGCAGTGGCATGACCTGTCTAAATTAAATCCCAAAATATAAGATATATTAAGATAGGATTTTGAAAGCAGTTTATAATAAGAGATTGAGAATATTCTTAAGAATTTGGACACATATGGTAATATTAAGTTAAACTTAATTTTAAATATTACTTGTAGCTTGCTGGGGATACTAACTTAACAGCTGGAACTGATTGAGAGGCTAGTCTGTTAATTACTATTTACTGAACAATATTGAATTGTCTTCTTTTCTAAATCCTTCTACACTTACAAATATTTCTTTTGGTGATTTTAAAAACAATTTTATGAAGTAAATTCCTAAAAAGAAACCACCACATTTGTAGACAACAAAAGCAATAAAACACATTATTACATTGTCCCTACACCCAGCATGATTGACATTAAGTATTACAGAACCTCAGAGTTAAAGAAGACCTTCAGGAAAAGCAAATAGAGAAGGGAGGTGGTCGATTCATGAGGAGGGAAAACCATTCCATGATACTCTGTTCCCTCAGTTTCTTGACCATTAGATGAAAGTCAAAATCCACCTGATAGTCTCAACTTACTGGTCAAGTTTACCTTGGGTTGAATCCTTAGCTGAGCTTCCTTACTCCCTTTAAAATAAAATCTTAAATTTGGCTCTTCAAAACACTGTATATTCTGGTGCTTCTGTTCTAAGGCAGTTAGTGCTTTAATATTCTAAAGGATTAAGAGTGAAATCTCTGGGCTCCTCTGGAAGTTGGGGAGAACTCTGTGGAGGAAAGGTTTTAAGGAACACAGAACAGCAGTAGGATCATAAATACAGTGTAGGGGAAGTATAACTAAAAGATGAGGGGGTAAAAGCGAAATCAAAGAAGAAAAGGTCCAGTCAGTACTCAGAGGAGTAAGAAACCAGTAAATGGGAAATTAAATGAAACGAGTAAACTGGGTGTGTTACTCAGGGTTCTTCAGAGAAATAGAACCAATAGAATATATTAGGAATTGGCTTGACTATGGAGGCTGAGCAGTCCCACTCTCTACTGTCTGTAAACTGGAGAACCAGGAAAATCATTGGTGTAATTCCGTCCAAGTCCAAAGGACTGAGAACCAAACAGTTGTTGGAATAAGTACTGGTCTCAGTCTGAATGCCCCAGAATCAGGAGAGCCAATAACTATGGCAGGAGAAGATCGATATCCCAGCTCAAACACAGAGAGTGCAAGTCCACCTTTCCTCTTCCTTTTTGTTTTGTTTGGTCACTCAACAGGTTGAATGATCCCCACCCGTAGTGGTGACATGGATCTTCTTTACTCAATTTACCTATTCAAATGCTGACCTCTTCCAGAAACACTCTCAAAGACACCTAGAAATAATGTTTTACCAGCTCTCTGGGCACCTCTTAGCCTAGTTAAGTTGACACATAAAAATAGGCATCACACTGGAAATCACCTGGATCTGTAGATAACAATAAGTTTACAATACAGAGTGGAGTAAGGTCAAGCCAGGACCATTGCAAGGAGATCCAATTAAGAATTTGGTATGAGTGCCAATAGGCTGTTAAAGAGCCCTTTTGAAGTGGTAACTTGGGAACTATTCCTGATCATAAAAATAGAGATATGGAGAGGAACTGGGGAGGAGTGAAAGGTTATCAGGGTCACCTCACAAAGCTCTTTCTGATACCTCACATCTGAATGAGGTTCTTCAGACTTTGCACTTCTTGGCACTTGGCTTGTCTTAGGACCTGTGGTAAGGCTCCATGTTTCCCCTCTCCCCATAGTCCATCCAGACTATGCATTTATTCTGTGGTTTCTAGTGCATTGTTTTACAAAGTACAAGTCTGAAATAAACAAATGAAATTAATTAAAATATAAATGGACCAAATAATAAATATTTACACATCTTGGGGTTGTGTTTTATTTCATGTAGTGCTTATCAAGCCTGTCTTTGTCTATTTAAATCACTTGTTTGGGGTACGGTGAAAATAACGCTGAGGTCACAAGTTCAGTTCTTGTGTGAGTGGACTATTTTATGGCCTAAGGGTCCATCGGCCATCTGTCCAGAAACTGCAGTTGAAAATGCATGGCACTGGGCACCAGAGGATGAGAAAAGATATGGGGGATCAGAAGAACCCCATCAGGTCTGATGATAAAACAACTCAGAGTCACTGACTTACAATCAGAAAGTCTCCTCTTGGAGGGTCCTGTTGTTTCCTTGAGGAATTCTATTTTAGAAATTACAATGTTATCCTATTAGAAGTACAGAAATGAATGAGCCGCAATTAATATTGGGCAGAACAATGGAAAAAGAGGGGGAAATTGTCACTGGAAGATCAAGGCTTGAATCTTATGTATGCCACTTATGGCTAATGTAATCTCTTGGATGAATATTGCATCTTTCTGAGCTCCAATGTTAGCATTGTACAAACTTTATTCATGAGATTGTTGTATTATAGGAGATAGTATGCATGCCACAAATAAATGCTTAGTAAATGTTAGACATTAGTGACAATTTAGAGTTGCAACTAGGCAGACAGAAAAGGGCTGACTACAAATGAGAAGAGCAGGAATCTAAGAATCAGAGTATCATAGCTGTCAAGAATCTCAGCGATAAATCCAATCCTGAATTTCACTGATAAGAAACTAAAGAATCAAAGTTTAAGTGCTTGGTAGTCACAGAGCTGAGACTAGAGCCTCCATTTCCATGTTCAATCTCACTGCCCCTTCAAGCTTAGCAATAGGAAGCAGTCAGAATCCTAACAGGGAATGTAATATTTAAAACAGGCTTCTGCTAAATGTGAAAAACTTTTAGCAGAACTTGATTATTTAATTCAAATAATATTTAATGAACGTTTACCAAGTGTGTGACACTATCCTAGGTCCTGGAATGTTTAGGATATGTCAAGGTAAACATAAAATAGGCCCTGCTCTCATAAAGACAATTTTCTAGAGAAAGATGACCAAGTTTTAAAAAATGAATGCAATTTAATGCAGTAAAAGCCCAAGGAAGGGGCTGCACAGTAAAAGAAGTCCTGGAATTTTCCAGGAAGAGATGATACCTGCGCTACATCTTCAGAGCAGCTGTACTGTGCTGTACCCTATTCCTTCTACATTTGTCCTTAGAAATGCATTTAAAACTATACTTTAAGAAAAATTTACCAGAATTCTACTCATCATTTTATTTACATGTATAGTTTCTTTACGGTCATTTGGTGGTAGAATGTGAACTTGAGATTCAAACAAAGCAGTGTTAAGTTTAGTTAGGTGACTTTTTGACACCTTGAATTGCTTGGTAATAGCAAAATTCTTACCTCTAGGGATTTTGCAAGGTTGATATCCAGATGCCTCAGCTCTGCATATCTGAACAGATTTTCCAATGAAAAGCTATAGGACCATATTTTTCTTCAGTGTTTATATTATTCTTACTCTTGAAAGGAAAGCGGAAATTTACAACCACCTTTGCTCAGTATGTATGCCCCACCTTCTACGGGGTTGTATTATCTTGTGTCCACTGGTAATAAGAAATCTTCATTCAGGAAAAACTGCCAGAATGAATGTTCCTTTCCACTTGTTTAGGGGAGCCCATGGTTAGATAATATTTTGATTAGTTGAAGAATAACTCTACTCTGTTGTGTTAACCTTTGAAAGGATAGTGTTAACAAACCTGTTGAATATTTCCTCAGCATTATTTTCTGTATGCTACTTTTTTGTGTGATCTAATATCATTTATTAAGTAGCTTTGGTTGATTGACACACCTTTTGATCAAAGGAGTTACCCTTTTGTCTTTAAACACTACAAAAATTAAAACTGACCAAAATAATTTGGTGGACATCTTGAGTACTCATCTTATATTCAATAAACAAGAATGTGTATTATATATTAAGGTTACCATGAATTAATTCAAAATTTTAAAAGGGTAAATTTATACTTTTTAAAAAAAATTAAATAAAGCTCCTAACCATGAATACAGGTAATGTCCTGAGTAAAACAAGATGATAGTACTAAAAAGATTCTTGTTTTTTGTTTTTTGTTTTTTTTTGAATGCGCTGGGTGGAGAGGAAAGAATGTTCTTTATATGATCAATACCCCTGCTTTTAAAAATAGAAATAAATACCCCCCATCCCTGCTCAAAAGAAGGGCCACTATCTTCAATTTCTCTAACCAAATTAAGCAGGTATCACGGTTTTGCAGCTTTACATTAGGTTATTGTGAAGGCTGTGTTCATTTCACTTACTGTATAATTAGGATTTGAGTCCAAATCCCAGAGTGCATGCGACAGGGATTTTCTTAAGGCTACTCTCTGTTCTTCTCAAAATGGTCTTCTTATTTCTTGTGTTTCTAAAATCAGAAAAGTGAGTATAAACAAACAATAGATGACCTTTATGAGTAAAACATCTGAGCATAGAAAGATTAATCAACCCCCATCAACCAGTCATTAAATCAAATAGGAGCTTTTCTTGTACTTTTAAACCTCTGATTTACAGTCAGGCAAATTGTGTAAAAAGGCTGGTAATACAGTGACGCCCAATGCCACTGGGCTTTAGAAAGCTGACAGTTCCTGTAAAATAGTCATTAAACAACCTCTAGAAGAGACTCATCAGCAGATGCCCCCAGGTGAAGGAGAGAGAAAGCTGAGAGAATGAAGGGGAATCTAACATCTTAGCATGACTGAATTAAACAGAGCATATTATGCTGATTTTCAGAGTCAGCCCAGTAATTTAATTTTCAGAGCAGTTCCTTTGATTGTAGCAACCATTTTATGAAACACTAATAAAACTTTGTGTGTGTGTGTGTGTGTGTGTAACACACATCTGTTTTCCATTTCATTAAGAAAAAGGAGTCAACATATTCAAATTTGCTGACCATTAGTTCTGCAAATGCCAAAAATAAAAGATTGTTGTCATTATTTTTGAAAAAGCAAAGGAACAGAATAACATAGCTCCCACTGTATTATTCCACAGTAAGCACAAAACAGGAAAAGAAAATAAAGTATATAAAGTTACTACATGTTAGTCTATGGGATTTTACATGAAGACTCTGAGCTAAATCACTACTATAATATATAATCCAAATATAATTCTGTACTGCCTATGTAATGATGTCTACTATGCATCCAAATTAATTGTTGTAGAATATACATTGCCTTGTATACTAAGTGTTTATCAGATTTACATGGCAAACAGACACTTCTGGATCAAGATTCTCACTGGATACTTGTTTTAAATGGTTTTCATTACACATTTTGAATAACAGAAGATTCACAGTATGAATGTTTTAAATAAGGAAAGAATCTTTAAAAAATTTACACAGATGTGCCTCACTTTACAGAAAATGTGTATTCTTGAAATCTCCATCATAAAACTATTTTTTCTGCAAGTTAACTTATATTTTCTAATTTATTTCTATCATAATACTGAAGATTCATTCTCACTGAAGTAATTTTTGGCCCAAAGACAATAATCACATTTAAGAATGAATCAATCCTTTTAAATAAGTGATAAATTTTATATCCAAATCTAGCAATTATCCTTAGCCTGAGTATTTTTGTTCTGATTCTCCTCTTTTCATTATTTTACCCCTATTGTTACATGTCTTGTATTTCCTTCTTTAAAAATAATAAGCATATAAGTAAATATGCATATGTAAATAAATAAATCAAAATGATCTTTTGAAGCAACATATACATAAAAATAAGGTTTTTGTTAGTAAATAATAAAAATAAGCGCACAAGGTCAGTCACAGCAAGGCTGTGGGAAATGTCACAGGTACAGCAGCTATGGAGGACATTAGGCCCCAGAGACCTGCAGATGCTACGGGTGACTCACTGCAGACCTCACTGGGTCACTTGGCCTCTAGGAGACTTGGTTTCTTCATCCTAAAATGATGAGGCCACACTAGAAGGTCACTAAGGTTTCTTCATCACAATAGCTTCGTGATCCTGATAAGGGTGTTCCCTCTAGTTGTCATGGTTAGTACTTTATGTGATTCTTGACGTGCTTATGAGTAATAATGTCTTTGTTAAACTTTTGTCAGTCTTTTCTTATAGCAAGGTGGACATCATTTAAAAGGCCATAGCCACATGTTATTATGTTGTTAAATCCAAGAAGGCCATGTTCCTAATAGTGTATATGTGTTTAATAGATTATTCCTATATTTCATTTTCATTTTTTTTATACTGAAGGGTTTTTTCCAGCTCTTCTGTTAAACTGTAAAATACCGATAGTTATTTCCATCCCAAGTTCACAGTTTGGACCTTGATTTTTTTTTTCTATATTTGACACTCAAAGTATCCAGCTAAAAAGCATAGAACTCAAATTCTCTTGGATATTTCTGTTATACACAAAAGTCTGCAAAGGATTGTCAGAACTTGCTTCATCTCATTACACCAAACATGTTAATTAACTCTTTAAGTTCTATATTCTTACAAAATGAATAATCTGTTGGTACAATCATAAAGATTCACATTTAAGCCTATACCATAGGCACTTACTAATCATCAACTGTAAAATACCCATAAGATTAAGCATCACATATTCAGAGAAAAAGGAAATGAAAGTCAGTTGTTTAACAGATTTTCATCTGCAAGAGATTTTATTAAGAGCTTCTTTGCTATGTGCCAAGATATGAATGCCTGAATATAATTCAATTTTATACAAAAGAAAATTCCATTCAAATCTAAAGATAGAATATTTCTATTTCAAGTTACTTTTCACTAAAATACTGAAAAGAATTGAAAGACAGCCATCCAAAATCCTAAATGTTTGAAACAAGTCTTCAAACAGTTGAAAAATAACTTTTGCAAATTTCTGGTACTGTGGTTGCCAGCAGAATACAGCCAACTGTTCAGCTAGGTTAAGGTTAATTCCATGGTGTGTGGTAGGAATATGGTCAACTTACACATCAGAAGCAAACCTGGAGATTGTGTCTAGTCATTTTCTTGTATTTCTTTCAAAAGGGAAGCATAGTGTAGAAGCCCAAATGCCAGTCCTAAGTTACAAGATCTACTGGGCTACACTTTTTGCAACAGTTTAATCTCCATTGTTAGTCCCATGAAGAACAGCCCTGCCTTCTGTATTTTCTTACAGGGCTGCTTTTGATGGAGAACTTTGTGGATGTTTGTGATATTGCTCAGAGCCCATTGGCAGATGAGCATCTCTTGCTGTGGCCTCCATCATTATTTGCCTGTCTTGTCTATTAACGAGCACTATCATCCCATCGTGGGATGACAGCTGCAACACGTACTCAGGCGCAATAAACAGCTAAATGAGGCGCACAGCAATTTCACTTGTCACCAGCGCCCTCGGCACGACTGGCTGCACAGCTTGATGCATAAATTCATGAGGCTGTTGCATATGATGGAGTATGCTTGGCTGAAAGAGGTGATGGATAGCAGGGCAGCTAAAAATGGCCATCACCTTGACTCTGTCAGGACATTTTTTAAAACTACCCCATCAGCTTTCTTGTATTCAATGCACTATCATAGCACAGAAGACTCTAAGGTACTGATCTGATACTTTTCTTCAAAAAGGACTTCTTCGTGGTTTCTTTAAATGGAAGTATCATTATTGAGGTAGGTTACATTTATTCATCATTAGCTCTGATGCTGCTAGATTAAGTTATGTTTAAGAGTAGAATTTACTACTGCATACAAATCTTATAAATCAATTCAAGTCTTAATAATGGGGGAAAACAACGGGAGTTTAAAACCATTTCTAAATTATACATTAAGGCTGTGGATTGGTTAACATGGAATTTGAAGAATTAGAAAACATGGCATAGAATATTCAAACACATAAATTTGAGAGAGAGAACTTCTATACAACTCATTAGAAAATTAAATAGTATAATGGGCACATCTTTACATCAGTGTTGGTAGTACACTTTCTAATCAGTATGCAAACACAAGCAAGGACTACTACTATGTAAAAGTGCCCACATCAAAGAAGCAGTGTATTGGAGACCTTAAAAAGAACCAATAATATAATGCATTCATGTCTCCAAAAATATCCCTTTAAACTCTTTTTACTCAGCTGCCTGAACTCAAGCCAGAATTCCAACTTCCATAGGCAGGGCCCTGGGTGTCCCACTGCAATGGGCTATACATCCTCTATCTATGTTAGTGGAAGTCATCTAAGGAAGACAAATATAAAGGCAACAAAATCAATGAGGCAGTTTCCTGCAAAGCTTTATGCATTAATCTCTATCACACAGAGATATATATGCACACCAGTGCAAGGGAAGGAAGTCACTTGTTCTCTAATAAAAGAGAAAACCCTTGATAATAAGCAATTAATAAAGTTGTCATGATTAGTTATGCAACTATGAATCAACATGTACAGTAAAAATGACCACTTTCTATAGATATAAAATATCTATGATTCAATCTAGTGAAAATAGTCATTAATACAGGGGGTTATGGATGATTCTTACAGCTACTTCCCCTCGCTTTTTTTTTTTTTTTTTGTAATAAAATAGGAACTCCGGAATAAGTATTACTGTAACAATTCAGACAGGAACTTTCTAGACCAGAAAGCAAATTCATTAGCCATTTCTTTTTTGTTCCTGCCTACCTCTTTCCAAACTCATGTTTCTCAAACTCACATATCCTAAATCGCCTATATCTAACAAAAGTATTTTAAAAGATAGTTAGAAAAAGTTGAAATCTATAGGAGCAAATTGTATTAGTAATATGAATTCAATGTGCCATACCAAATGATAAAAAGAAATTCTCAAATAAACAGCAGAAAACTTCTTTTGAATTATTTGGAAGTCAGGGGCCTTTTAAGGAGACAATTACTTGGCAGGGTATCTGGTGATAGCCTTATGACACTGTTCCAATATATAATCACCTGGTTAGTCCAGGGACTATGTGGATCTGATGTAGTAAAGGAGTCATGGACCATGGCCACTGGTAGGAAGAAGCAGACAGAGAAGAGAAACTTTGAAAAAATGGGGAAGATAAAGATGATTCTCTATCAATAAGACAAGAATTACAGGACACTGTGAATAACAAGGGTGATAATAAGAACATGCACTTTGTAGCTACATAATGCCAAGTATTAAGGGGAATAGAAGGAGGTAAATGAGGAACTCAACTCTGGTAAAATATGTAAGGAGCGCCAAAAATTGAGTATTCTGGATAAATGATATTTTAATGTAATATATTTGCAATAAATTCTGCTTTTAAAAGCTCATGTTATTATCAACTGTGCCATATAACATAACATAATCATGAGAATGACATCTCAGAATATTCACAGGTTCCTAGGAGTAAGCAACGACATCTTTGGGAGGTTGCATTAGAAATTTGGCCTACTACAATGATGAACAAAA